AACATTGTTTCATCAAGGAAAAGTTAAAAATAAAAGAAAATTCTTATATATTAATAATAAAAAATAATAAAATAATAAAAATAATATACATATATTTTATAAAATTAATATTTTATATTTAAAAATATAAAATATTATCTTTTTCGAAAATTAATATATTGTAAAAAAAAATATCTACAACACTCTAATATACTATAATATACATTACAAAAATAATTAAAATTAAAATAACCTATAAATATATTATACAATATTATAGTAATAGTATACGATAATAATTTCATTTATGAAAGTTCAAAAGTTGTTTAATTACTTTGAAAAGGAGCTCATTAAACATGTTTTAGGACCTGCAGGATCCATCGTTGTTAAGTTACAGGCATAATTCATAATTGAATAAGATCAATTCTTGTTACGATATATTCTTTCAATTTATCGAATATCAATAATTATTTTTCACCACTCATTCGCGGTTGGTTCACATATTTTACGTTATATTTCGACCAATTGAAGGGGTACTTCTAGAAAAATTTCGGTAGCTGAAATTTCAGTTGAGTTCGACCGAGACGATGCTAGTTGGGGGTAATTGTGATCGCCTCCTTCCTGGTACGATCAGTTTCAATAAAAATAATTATCGCGGCGGTCTCTTTCGAAGTAAAAATCGATGATGAGTATAGAGGGTGGAAGTAAATTGGGTAGGACTATTACGTGTGCACAAACGCACAGATAATGAATTCAATTGTTTGGTGTGGTTTTTATTACTCCTACTCCTCCATATATCGTCCAATCAGGAGTAAGCAAAGACGCCTGTCGCCACATTCGAAATATATAAATGTGTCAATATCTGTTCCTCGACGCTCAGTCAGTATTTTTATTCCTGCTAAACTGATAATAAAATAGTGAACAATCGTTTTCCAAGATCGAGAGAAAGTCGACAAAGAAATGGTGAGTTTGATTTTTCAACGGGGTTCCTAGGATTCATTGTTTTATAGATACTTTTTTTACGATGTTTACGTTTGTTACACGATTGACAGACGATAAAAATCCGAATTGGCCATTCTGTCAATAAGCCATGGTTAATTAGGACTTTTTCTAGTTAAATATTATTTTTTTTTCTTCATTTTTTTATACGTTGCTTTTTTTTAAATAAAAAAGAGAAATCCTTTCTATTCGAAATTTCACTTTTTTTTTAAAATGATATATATTCCTATGCGTAAATTATAAGAAACAGATAAATAAAAGAATTTTTAATAATTTATAATTTGGAGAAAAAAAAAATTTTTTTTCTTTCATTTTCTTTTTTTTTTTCTTTCCTTCTTTTTAATACGTGTTTAATTTAAAAATATGTTATATTCTTCTTTCAAAAAAAGAAGAAAAAAAAGTAAAATAAAGGAAAAAAATATACGAGAAAGAAATATTTCTTTCCTTCTTTTTTTTATTATTTTTTATAATAATATAAATATCTTATATCTCATGTACATTTTGAAAAAAGAAAAGAAAGAATTTCATTTTCTTTCCTTTTTTTTTTTTTTTTTACTTTTTCAAAAAGAATAAATTAATATTATATTCTTGCATACATACATCTAGAAATAGGAGAGTAAAAAATTTTCATTCATATTTCGTCTTTCGTGTTTCATACTGCATATTTCCTTATCGCGGTTTACGGTCTCCCTGATATCATCTCTAGATTACGATGCGTTAAAGGGCTCCGCGGAAAGAGGGCGCGAGATCATAGGGAAGATGCGAAGATTGTATAAGAAGTTGCATCATTCGGTTCGAAACCTCCTCCCGTGATGTGCGCTCCTAGAAAGCATCTCCGGCGCGAGTATCTTTATCGAAAGTTCTATCTCGTAGCAGTACCAGATTCGATATTTTTGCGGACCTTTTCTACGTGTGACAATTACCCATCGTGATTCATAAGTTCAAAGGTAAGGATCGATTCAAATTTTCAGAATAGTATTAAGGCCCTGTTAAAAAGCTACGTGACCACGTGCAAATAGATTTTTATGTGAAAAGAGAGATAATGGGGACGGTGAGATGAGATTTGTTAAATAGCAGAGATAATCGTAAGAAATGACAAGGCGGACGAAATTTTAGATACATATAAATATAGATTTTTGAGAAGTTTATATTACTTCTTAGTTTCTCGAAAGCAGATAACGTACGGAGAACTGCATTCTATTTTTAGTTACATATATTTTAACAAGCAAAATTTCGACCAACTTTCCTCATTTTCACAGACTGTCCGATTTCTCTTATTTTCTAATCGGTTGACACTTTTCGATTAATTTCATCATAATATACTCATAGAGGTTTAGAGGTGTTTAAACATTGCTTCGCGATAACATCATCTCACCTGGTCTCATATCAGTTTTTTCGATTACATTCCAGCTGTGTCGTAATTTTTAACCGCAGAATTATATTAACGCAATATTATTAATCCTTTCGATCACTCGGTGAAAATTGAATTAAGTTATAATAATTTCTCGATCTTAGATAATTATTTTATTTTAGAATATAAATTATTATTATTCTTTACACATGTATCAATTACAAGATATGAAAATTTATAAGAAAATTTATATCCAAAATATTTAATTATATATTCAATAACATAATTAAATTAAATTATTAGATGATATTCAATTTCTAATTTTTCGAAAGAATACGTGCAAACTACTATACAAAATACATTTAATAGCAAAACGTGCTTAAAGAATATTTTTCTTACATATTCAAAATATATACATTCATTAAATGTTTCGGATAACATTGTTAACACATTAATACCTTGCCGCTTAGATTTATATAATACTTTTTGCTTGCGCAACTAATTATTTTCCAGATAAATTAAACGAAACACCACTGTGTCATTTATATTTAAACACCACTATGATCTGTAATAATCGAAATCGAAATATCGAAGGAATTACTTATTGTATACTCATTGGCGAGACGATAAACCGTCCAATATCTCGGAAGTTTTAGCCACTTTTAACTCTTCCTCGGGGACACGCTGCATGCAAGTGTTTGCAGCAAAAAAAAGTT